AGCTCAAGCGGTCAATTTTTTAGGTCAGATCCCGTCTCTTTTTTCTTTCTGCCCAGGTATCTTCAGCTGAACTACGCGTGCTTGACTATACCTGACTGATGGTTTCAAGCTCGACTGTACGAACTAAACAAAACCATAGGACAGCCACCGAGAATGTTCTTTGTTTCCGATGAAGCTTAAACTTTTTAGTCATAGTATACTTTTCGTAGTCATGTACTTGGTACATAAAAAGTGTTTCGGCCCCTCGTTTGCCCCAGCATACTTCAACTTCTGATTGTTGTCATTGGGCCAGCGCCTGTCGGACACGGCGTTTTGGTAGTGTCGTTGGATAGCTCATTGTCCCGTCAAGCTACTTTGCAAGATCGTTTCCTAGATTGACGTTGAATTAGAAATCTTAGCGTCTGCTTCAAATTTCTTATGATAATTATTTTTCAAGGCAAAATGCTCGTTCGATTGCCTACAGGAATTAGACTTTTTTTGAAAATGTTTACATTTTATATCCCGCTAATGTTGATTGGGAAATCTCAAGTACATTTTTACAATTGAATGGCTGCCAAGGACTTTTCCTGTTTTACTTGCCTTAAATGCGCCTAACGTTCTATATCGGCCTTAAAATTATTAGCGGACCCTCCGCTGTTGTCGATAAAATCTCGACTGGACGTCAGCTTGTCTGAGAATGCATAAACCGACTTTACTAATCGGCCATATTCTTGAAATATGTTGATAGTGATTGTTTCCTTACAGCGGACGGTAGGAAATAAGCAAACTTTCACAGTCAGCTGTCATGATATATCAATTTTACTATTTTTTGTCATCTGTAGGGAGTGAATGACTGCTAGCTGTCAGAATTGCGATCTCTGAGAAACTTAATCGGTTAGGTTTGCGTTAAATCTGTTTCTATACGTATACCACGTAGGTTCGGTTTGTTCGAAATCTTTCCCTTATGAGAGATTTGATTCTTAGTGTTTGTTTAGACAGCACAAACCGTCTGCTCGTTCGTAATTTTTGCCGAAGTTGTAGACTTAGGATCCGTATTTTTTGTCGCGCTCATTTAGTCGGTTCCTCGGTGACATCAAAGCGGCCTTTACGAAGAACCCGAATTTAACTAACCTCCTCCTTGACCCGTTCTTCAAAGGAATTATTGAGCGCTGTCAGGTAAGCGTTCGATCTTCGCATGAACCACATAAAAAATGCGCTCTAGAACTTCTGTTCTTGTAACAAGCCATATTTCTCTGCCAGTTGAAATGGTTCACTTGCCAATTTCAATTATATTTAAGCATTGTACTAGCTTTTTTGAGTAGGTTGTGCGGAGACAATCTAGTTCTTGCGCCACGTAGCATGAAAAAACCCATCCTTTAAACTTCTTATGCGAAGGGATTCCCGTGTCTTTTGTAGCAATTCAGCTGGCATTTTCAGCGATATTCGCAGTGTTACTTCGGGCTATGTTTTGCAAGTTCTTCATTTCCTCTTTGTGTTGCGTATTGTCTTTTAGTGTTCCTGGCGCACGGTCGTATGCAAGGGCGTTGGCGCAGGCATCCCAATGCCCGGTTTCAGTTCTGCCCTCGCCTTTTACGACGCTATTCGTTCTGCCCGTTTGCCTGCCAATTTGATCCAGGTACCGTGTGTTTTTTAAATGTCGCGCCTGTCCTCATGGACACTGAGTGGCTTGCTCTCGTTCCTTTTACGTAACATTCATATGTGATGTTCGTTTCCTACTTCCTGATAAAAATTTCATTTTGTGCGGCGTTGCTGTCTGTGCACGAATTCTCCACCCGCTAACCTTTCCTTTTTTAAAGTGCAGACTAGACTTACAGAACATGAGGCTGTTATTAGCGGGGAAATAAATTCTTTCGAATGGGAGGGCAAGTTTTGCCGAAGCTGTTATGCACTACTTTCAACTTGTTTGATTTTGGAAGAAGGCAAGCCAAGTTTCGAGAGAACAGTACCACCTACTGCCCTACTAAATTCTAGGTTATAAATAAACAGATAATGGAGTCATATTTAACCTGAGTCTTTCGGATAAATGCTTTAAATGTGTTCGTGCTCGTAACGATGCACACTTTGAAAGAGATAATAAACCGCCGTGGAGGACTCGTGTTTTTAATCTGAACCCACCTGCAATGTCCTGGAATCACATTCTGTTCCAGAAGGTTGGACAGCGACGTCCACCTTCGAATCCTGAAAAGTTAAGGAAACCATCTCTAAACCAAGCAGCCCCCAGCAGCCAGCGCCCAGCTAATTACTCCTCAACCGGGCTGGGGTCCCACCGGGACCGTATGAATCAAGCGCCACGGGTGGGCTTTCCAACGAGCCATTGTTCACCTAGAGGCCTCGAAAAGGACATCAGCTGGTAGCTTGCCTCATCACAATCCACCAAGACATAAAGGTTGTTCTTGGAACTTCCGTATTCGGTATGTCGCTGGGGAAGAGAGTGAATCGAGCTCTCCAGGTAAGCTGTCGCGAATCGCCACTCATGAAGGGGTGCAGTCCGTCATAGCTTCTAGGCCTTCTTCGTCATACGTGATCGAAGCTGTACCATGTGCATTAAGCATAATGTAGCAATTGTTGAGAAGCACTGTTGTATGCTTAAACGCTGGATGGAGATCTCTGCCTTTGGATATTTGGCTCAATAAAACCAAACTCTAACAAAATGCCGGCACCTTTCCAACTGTAGGTGCACACTGACATAGCGACTTTTCAGTTAGTGCCAACAAAAGGTAAGGACAGGGTTTATGAATATGGGGTCTTAATTGGCTCTGGCCTAGATATAGGCTAAGAATTTTCTTGTTGCGCTAATAACAGTCGATCTAAGCATATAATATGCCACAATTCTCAAGTTTCGTGGGTGACCAACTAAGCAAATCTTCCTTTGCTCGTGCGCGCACTCACTGGCCGGAGGGCAGAGGCGGACAACTGTTTCGTGCCGGCCTTCAATCGTTAGGCGTGTCTCAGCTTTCTGTCCTAAGGGTCTTACGTCTTTCGATATGTCCGCCTGTCGGCTTGTGTTTGCAAATTTCAGATGCACGCAAGATTGCGGGTTCTAGGCAAGGGCTGCTAGGAAGATCCCACCGTTGGAACGAAAGCCTTATTTGTCTGCTTTCTTTCCCGGAATAATCGTCAGGGACAGCTCAAGACAAGGGTACCGAATACGAAGAGAGTGACGCAGTCAGCAGAAGGTGTACTTGTTGCTCTGTCACGTTGTCTCCATCTGTTAACCCCAGCATTCATCATAGATGTGTTGGTACTTGGTGTAGCGCTGACTGGGTCGCGGTGTCACCAATGATCTTTCTGATTGATACAATAAGTACTGCTTACTTTGGCTAACCAGTGCTGGCAGTGGGAACCGTGCTCACTCGCACACCCCACTTTTAATTGATTTTTTCCCAGACAAAGTTCAGGTATTGAATAGGAAGTGACGATCGCTGTGTTTGTCGAGATCGTCTTTTGATGTCACTTCTCTGTTTTCTTTTATTCCTCAGGATCTGGTAGTAGAGACAGTGTAATTACCCCCACAGAGCAAATACAATAAAACATTGAATCCAGATGGAGTACTGATGAGCTAAACTGCCTTGTGATTTTGGTGATTGAAGTCAATCACCAAAATTAGTGATGCAACTCCGATCATTCACAACTCAGGTGCGAGTGGTCGTCACCACCACATCAAGTACTACCGTTTACGATGAATGGGGGGCTTAACAGATTTGGAGACAGTGACGGAGCAACACCCGCGCCTTCTGCTGACTGCGTCTCTCCCCTCTTGTCCTATACCCTTATCCGTCGCTGTCCCTGATTATGGGTCCGGGAGTGAATAAGGAATGCCAGACGAGTAAACCTTTGTTCCGACGTCTTAGTGTCTTCCACGTTTGTAAATCCGCACGTGCATATGCATCAACTGAACCCTCAATACTTTTCCGATGTTTTGCTTGCAGACGTTCGAAATCCTAACGAAGACCTAAAAGCATATCCGGAATACGGGTCCCTCACTAATTGTTCTTGCCAGTTTTGTCTTTTTACTGTCGGGCATTAACGGTGAACATTGACTGCCAACAGCTTTTTCACTTTGTTCCTGAACAGTAGAAGGGTAGTCAACATGCAAAAGTCAGTTTATACTAATTCACCTAATTTTCCGAGCCATTCTTTTGAAGGCACAACGTGATTACTTCGGCGCCCATCAGTACGAACTTGAGTCTGCACCTGGAACATGGTACCACACTGACTGGACCGGCCACGGCGGAAATACTACCTCCTCCACTTATCAAGTTTAGTTCGACAGACCATTGCCGCCTCGCCATCCCCTTTGCCACAAAAGATCCTAAACCCTAGATGACTTTGACTGTGTCTTTTTTGTTGACGTATGCAAAACTTGCCATTTCTAATCTCAGTTCCAGAATGTAATTTCCTTAGAAAAACTAATAGTTACTAATCCTTTTGGTGTGTCGAGCTGTCTTCTACGCTTCCTCTCAACTAACTGGGGTCTCGTCAAGTTAATGTGACCACTGCACCCTTTGCACAAACACTCGCACTGTCCTTTATTTCTTGGGACGGAGATTGCGGATTCTGTCTACTCTATGGTGGATCGGGCAGTCTATGTCGACATCCCAGTTGCTGATATATCCGTCACATATCATCAAATACACTGTTAGTCGTCTCATCGGTTTTAACCCCCTTGAGTTACGGCATCGGGACTGTCTCTATTCGGTTCGTTTTCTCGATGCGATGAGTCTTATTATGTCTAGGACTTTAGCCCGACTGGATCTCTAACGCAAAATTGCGGGACTTTTCGAAAGCAACCTTGTGTAGCTGACCAATTGTGCTCTTGTCGCATTCTCACTCATTATGATTGATAAAAGCTGATTTTGCAATAAATCGCTCTGAGCAACCGATCGGAGAGGGTCACAACACTGCTCGAGAACCGGCATGTTCTCAGCGAGACCAAATTTTCGGAACAAGGCCAACTGGAAGAGGTGGGTGTAGGCCACACCTTCCTCTGGAGCGGCCGCCTAAAGGCGAATCGACGCAGCTCTGGCGTCGTCTGTGCCGCCCAGAACGACATCGTGATACGACTGTCCTGTCTGCCTCAGGGCGTCGACGACCGCTTCATAGCCGTGCGCATGCTTCTTGAAGGAGCCAAATTGGTCACTATTTTCTGCGTCTACGCTCCCGAAATGGCCAGCCCCGACGAATTGAATAACGAACTCTACGGGGAATTGTACGCCCTCCGAGCGACAGAGCTGAAGGCGGGTAAGCTGACTGATCTTGGTACAGGCTATGCTGCCTGTGGTAGAGCGCTGGGTCGTCACGGGGTCGGCGACCGCAACGATAGGGGCCTCTTTCTTCTGTGAACCCCTGCAGAAGACCGTCTCCCTACGGTTTCCATCTAAACAAAAAACGCAAGATGTACAAAGTCGTCATTTTGACAACTCTGCTGTGCGGAAGGGATTCGAGTCGTCCACGAGAAACAGGCGACAACACCCAGTCACCCCTACCCTAGCTGCCACCGGCAAACTACGGTTCGACCGTCAATTCCGACTACGTCCGCCGTATGCTCCACAGCAGAGAACAGAGGCGGTGGCCTGCGCGTGAATTAGTTAATAATGATAGCGGACTCGCGCAGCGTTCATCGCACTCTCCTCCGCTCATCTAGGCCCGGTGTTGACAGAGATCGGAGGCGGCTGGCGCGGCCGGAGACGCCTTTGGCGCGCCACCATACCTGGCTCCGGTCCTACGAAGTGGTAGTGCCACAGAGGCCACATTAAAGGGCCATTACAGTATGACTCAGTCCGCTACTCCAAGGTATCCCGTCAGTTGGTAGCCATCCAAGCCACGGCTTCTGGCACACCGTGATAATTCAAGCGCGTCATATTGTTTTTAATGAGGAAAGTGCGCTGAGTCGTCGACCTCTTTGTTCCCATTTCCAGGCCCCAGCTACTGACCGAGCCGGTCGGATGTCCGGTGCGGAGAATGGGCGCAGTGACTGAAAACTAGAAAACTCGTCTACAAGGGTAGATAACGAGAGCCCACCCAAGTGACTACGGCGACATCGCTAAGTCTACTCGTCGGGAAGATGGGTAAAAACGTTAGAAGGACACCCTGAGGATCTCTTCCCTTGATAGGCAACGCACAAACCCTTCGGATATACACTATAAATTGGATCTCAAGGTTTCAGTTATTACTTTGCCGGTGCTTTTCTAGTCCTTAGCGGACCCCATTTCCGTTACGAGAACTTTGGCGCAGGGCCAGATTGCCTGGGACTTCTGGCGGCTACCATCAAAAATTGTGCTGGTTCGCACGATTATCAACGATAAATCTCAACTAAAGGCGGACGATGGTACGCTACCGGCGAAGTTCTGTCATTTGGTCCGACACAAATTGATAACAGCGCAGTCGCGGATTTGTCCGCATATGTTTGCACGCCAGCATAATCAACGCATTATTTACAAAGTTTATTTCGACAAAATATTTGCATTTGTTCTGACAAGCGCAGACTCAACCCGTTTAAAAGTGTCCAAAATCAGGAGTTGCGATTTCTCTCTTTGAAGAAAAACGTTAGAGAGGGAGTAAAGAGGACCTTGTGGAAGTAGTTGTCCGCACAACAGCCAAGGAGGATGACGCAGGGGACAAAGAAGTCTGAAACATGGTTGAAGTAACGTCAGTGCGGTCACCAACTTTACTTGTTACTGCACAAGGGGCGAATGAAAGGATGAAGGGCAGAAAAACAAATTTCAAACCCTCCCTTCGTCATCCGACATATAGGTCTTGTCATCGCCCAATGACATCAGGTTTGGGGGCCCACCCAGGCCCTCTGACTCTCGATTCGGTGCAGTTAGTGCGGCACTGTTTTGAGAAGACTGGGTAGGATTTCCCTTGAGTGCGGCCGCGGTCCTTGCGCTTTTGGCATCCTTACACTCACAGGCAACAATTTTTATCTGCAAACAAACAGGAAAGCCGGGTGCATTTTAGGATGGATAAGACTGTCTAAATCTATCTCTACTGCACTTGCTCATTAGTATCATTCTGTGTGATGACCCACGTACGCTGCGTGCCTAGTTTTAAATTTTATTCGAAAGACTAGCAAAAGTAATTCATGAACATCTTGCCGCAAAATTTTAAAGACCGCTTGATAACCAAGAGCTCTTTGTTAAAGGCAGAGAAATACTGCAAATGTCCACCAGGAAGTAAGTAATTTGCAGTGTCACAACCAGTCCATTATTTCAGCTTGTGTGTGTGTTAAAGTCGGCGTAATGGATATCTATACTGTCGCCGAGGGTAGTGCCCGATGTTATAGAACATGAGGAGTCTGTAGAATCTGTTTGTACAAGCAGGTCGGGCCACGCCGGCTCGTATGGTTTTGGGATCTGCCATGAGACAATACCAATCAATGCACACTTTCTGTCTTTGAAATAGTTTCCCTGTTCTAAGGCGAGTCTTTTAACATGTGGATAAGCAATAACTATGGCCTTACGGTGCACTCCATCTGTGTAGAAAGGCTTCCTGACCGAAGTACAGGGGTCTCATTTTGATAACCCAGTCCAATCAGCTAAAAGTTCACTGAGGTTTTTAAAAAGGTGCGGACTCAGGACTGCTTTTTGTCACCCTTCAGGCAGACCGTAATGCAATATAAAGGCACATGTAAACAAGAACGCGTAGATCGGTTCTTGCAGTCCTTGTGTTAAAAACTCGAAGTACGGTATTCTTTCTCTAATAAAAGGTGCTATAAACTGCTCTCTTTTTAATATGAGGGAATGATAATGAGTTTCCCGTCAGCGCAAAGTTAGGCCCTTTATGTGCAGGATGAGGACTAACGCGTTTTCTGCTGATGCTGATGGCCACTAAAGCTAATTCCGACTTCAGAATAATATGCATTTGCTCTTTGGGCATGAAATAACCCGAACCCTATTGACCATCTGACAAGACAACTGCTTGGTGGGCAATATTTTATGTCCTTCGGGGAGCATACAATTTTGAATTGCTTATTGTTGGTCTCAAGTCGCCTTGTTACAGTCCGCAATTAGCGGTTCCAACCCAAGGGATGCTTTGCAAAAGATGGAGCCCAGGAGACGGCCAAGAGGCAGAAACAAGAATGTCATGAAAAGGGGAATGTCGCTCAGATGTCTTACTTTATCCACATGCAGCAGTACAGAGGCATCTCGTATCTCCACATCGTTCATGACAAGCGTCCAAACGTTGTCACAGTTTCGATAGGTATTGAGATGACCTTTCAAGAAGAGGCGATTCTTCACACGTTTGGATAGTGCTGTGCAGATACATTGGTCAAATTTCTGCATGATCTATGCGAAACAGTGATTATTATGACTGGAGCATACTTTCATTGCGCACCCAGAAGTTATCAAATTGTGGGTGAGCATTTCGTCAAGAGATTCCTGGAGTGTATTTCCAAGAGTCGTCCGGCGATACATTTCGTGATAAGTTTCTGCCGACATGACGCACCTCAAATGATTTTACGGATAACTACAAAACGAAAGTGTAGAACTAGGAAATCGGGAAGGTGATGGAAAGGTATAAATAGCTCTTCAACGTTGGGTCGGACAGTTCTTTAAAAGACGTGTTACTGAAACCACTGGCAGTCGGACGTAGGCCTTTTGACTTATTGGGAACGCAGTTCAGAATCTGCCCTGAAATACTATGGTCCTGACTCGGTTACAGACGAGGAAGACACAAAAACGTGTCTATTTATAACTGATTAGAGCCGACGGCCAAAGCTGCGCCTCCGTTTGGAATTCGTCTTCTTAGGATATTCAGTGGAACGATGATCAGAAGTTAGGAAGAGCATGACGCGGATGAATACAGATCGCTAATGACTTAGAAGTTACGCGTTCATTCCCGTAACAATAAAATTTCGCATTTGAAACTGCCCTGCAAAAGTACTTTGATCGCAGGCGTGATGCTATCATACTATTTCAGGTCACTGAATACACGGTCTAGACTGGTTTACTGCCTAGTCCTCTGGCTTAAGCATATAGGAGAAAGCAGCTCGGACAAATAAGGCCCATTTAGTAAGTTCGAGTAGAGGTGGCATGCATAATGCTTCTCTGTCAACGAATCCACGTATGTATCGACCCTTCTTTCGCAATGTCGTTTAGGTCACAAGGAGAAAATGACGCGAGCGCGAGAACAGCCGTGGCATAAGCTTCGTCGGCGTTGCTGTGGTCTTTGCTGTTGTCCTTCTTAGTCGATTCCAGAACGTACATAACTGCAGGACGAGACCCAATCAGGCCGGGTTCCAAGCTGAGCGTAGGTGCTCAGACCGAATACTTACAGTGAGGTGCATTCTCGAATTCCGCCACAGCTACCAGCAATCGACTGCCGTCCTTTTTAATGACCTTCTCGCAGCGTTCGACTCCGTCAATTGAGTCCTCGCGGTTGATAAGAGAACGAGGTGGTATCCCGGCAAATAACCATCGCCATGACAGGGGCCTACTATGTCTCCAGCAATGCGCGAGCTCTGTTCCACAACAATCTGCCCCAACCGTCCGATATCCGATCTGGCATTCGATGAGATTGTACACTGTCGCTCATTCTGTCCAAGTACGCCAATTATTGGATTCCCAGTGGAGTTCTACACGGTTTTAACATTGTTGAGCTTGGACCCGGACGCCAATCTCAACTATGCTGACGATATCGGTCCTCTAGCCTCAGGCCTTGACGATCACCAGTTTGCGGTGTCGAGTAAATAAAGTCACCAAACTAGCCAGTTTTTCAAAAACGCTAGGAAAACCGACGTGTTTTAGAGCCACATCCCTGACCAGGAGAAGACACCCTCGGGGCCAATGGCTACTAGTTTGAAGAAGTACGCAGTTTCAAATATCTTGGGGTAAGGCTGCCGCCCAGTGAGCAGTGAAAACGACATTGTCCCCGAACCGATGCAGCTCGCAGGATTTCCACAATCCTCATAAAGTTCTATGGACCTGCCGCGACATCTTTATCGCCACAAAAGCTCGCGTGTAACTGGCACCCGTCCGGTCAGTCCTGTAATGGCTTTTAGTTTTGGGCTGTGTGGAGAATGAACGAAGACTGGTTTTTGACCACCGTGGCCTGGGAATAATCTTTCAAGTGGAGGAAACCGACTTTGTCTTAGACGAGACAGCCCGCGCTCGCTGCGACATCCCGAGGATATCTGAGGCCATCCAAAAGAGACGACCAGTGTTTTGGGGACGTTCTTCGTCTTTCATTTCATGGACTCTGTGTCTCTGTCCTCGATCCAGCGCCGTTGCTCATAGGGAGGCGCCAAAGAGGAATTCAACCCAAAGCCCGGCTCGACATGCTTTTTCAAGGCAAGGAAGTGGTTCCCGGACTTTGGATATCCGGTCTTCGTCGCTGGAGGAGGTCGAGCTCCCCAAATCCGCTGCCGCGGATCGCCATGCGTGGAGGTACAGTCTGTGACGTCGTCGGGGCCGTCTAGAGTGGTCATGGTCATAGTTGTACCAAATAAAGGCAGATGTCTAGGAAAAGGCTGAGTAGTGTATAAGGGACTACAGTTGGAAGCGTGCGCGCATATAAGAGGATGCATTTATCCTCTGAAAAGGAACGGCCCCAAAAGCTAGGCCGAACACTACAAGAATTGCACAGACTTTGCCATCGAGAAGTATTCCGTCGTGCCCTTAGTGACGTCAACGCGACATTTGCGACGTTCAGCGACATCTTCCACAAGGCTGATCTGTCTTCAGCAAGGCCTACTATCGCTGCACCACTGCGAGAATTTTCATCCATAACAGCCTCACCAGGCCGTTCCAGAAGCGATCAGCTGTTAAACAAAACTGTAATGTCACACGTTCCGTAGAAACACGCCTTTAACTGAATTCTCGGAAGTGCCTTTCATGGTGTTAAATCTGTACCCGTGTGTCGGCTGAATAAACTCGACTGCGTCCGCCATATCGTCCGACTGATATCAAGTCATAATGAGTCTGAGAGTGCGGTGTCATGCGTGAATAAGGTCGCTGAATCAGTCGATTCACCCAAGAGCCCTGAGATTAATCCACTCACGCTACGCCCCTGACTAGGAGAACACATGTTTTGGGAGCAGTAGCTATTGATTTTAAAAAGTCGACAGCTTCAAATACCACGGGGCGAAATTGTTGTCAAATGAACAAAATAAGTTCGACATCGCGGTCTGAATCGAAGTTTCTTGCATGGTTTTCGTAAAGCCCAAGAGTGTTTTGAGGGTTCCTGTGGTGTCTCTAGCCTCACAAAACATGCGTTTACCGGGCATCCCATCAGTTAGTCGTAAAAATTGAAAATGCTAAGCCATGCGTGAAATAGAGGAAGAATTGCAAGTGTTTTATCCCCGTTTCTGAGAAGCGCTCTTCAAGTAAAGCACACAGATTCCATATTAAAGAGGAGGGTCCACAATCGCTGCAACAACATCGTGGGGATATTTTCGGTCACGTAATAAAGGCGATAAGCGTGGTTTAGGTAAATCGCTCGTCGCCCAATCCATGAATTCAGCGTTAATGCTTATGATCTAGTGCCGCTGTCCATTTAAAGACGGCTAGGTCAACTTAAAATCCGGGTCAACACGGTGAGTTGAGATATGGACATGGTTCTTGAACCTTCGGTTTTCGGTGTCCGTCAGTAAGAAAGAGAATGGGTCGAACTCTCTAGAGTCAGTGCTATAGATCAATAAACGTGGAGGCACAATTTGCGACGCCGAGACTAGCTGGATCAGCCATGGTTACAGCCGTACTAAATGCAAATAACCTATGGTTAGGAAAGTTTAACATAGCTTAAATATCATCACAGTGGCAACCAAGCCCAGAGTTCGGCAAGACGATCGGCGAATGGCCTCGTTGTTTAGCAGCATTATTTAAACGGTGTCATTGCTGTGCTGACCTGGAAGCAGAGGCCAAATCCACACTACAGAAACGCCATTGTTCCGTCCACTTTTAACAAATGCGACAGTGCTAGAACTGGCATGGCATAAATGCCCTTGACATTCCTAGATTTTTTGCAGCTGAATTAAATCCACTCCGGTCGCACCGCAGCGCGCAGACATCAAAGATTTCGTACGGCTTCGAGTTGAGGCGGAAGGTGTGTTTTTACTGAATCCTTGAATACTGTCATAATTAACGGTAACTCGCCTTGGACGGCTTCGTACATCATGATTCTTCTGTAACTGATCGTTAGCGTTCCCATTAATGAAAAAGCTCTACTATGCCATGTCATCGAAGCGATTTCGACCGACCAAACCTTGATGTCAGAGAACTAAGATCGAACTCAGTGTAAACCGGAAGAAAGTTTACTTCTTTGATGTCACCGGCAGCTGTTGGGATTGCGTTCTTCCAGCAAATTCATTTAAAAGCGTGACAAACTGCGCCCTGTAGAAGGTTCAGGCAAACCGCCGTCGTGAGTCGTCCTATACGAAGCTGGACTACGGCAAATATACTGCTCCTGAAAAATATGATCACCTCAAGTTATCACAGTGGAGGTAACTGCATGGTACCAACAGACAATGAGACTCTTGAGTTAGTGGAAAGCTTCTGCTACCTTGGGTCGAATTTTCCGCCAAGCGAGCAAAACAGACATTATGTCGGCGGCCAGACTCACTCGTCTGAATTCTCTAAAAGCTCTTGCGAAGCACGAGAATGGTCAGAAGACTAAGTTGTAGGCATATAAGGCCTTCGTCAGGTAAATTTTGCTATGCGGGAATGAAACAAGATCCAGGCGCACAGAAGACAAGCGTTGCTTAAACGTAGTTAATCGATGATTTGCATTCAGACTTCAGATTCCTTTTTCCAGATGTTAGGAGCAAAACCTATCAATTATGTTCCTCTACTCGTCCACCGTGATGTTTTGGCCCTGTTTGGCTGACCCGAAGGCGAAATCGGCCGGAGTATCCGAATTCGGTCCTGGTTGCGATATGGGTCGAAGTGATCAACTCAAGATGTATGGACGGCGTAAAAACTGGCCTCCGACACAGCCTAGCAGTCTCTATCCTGCTTGTTTGTGTGCACGCACTTCCAGGTGTCATAGATAGTGTTTACATTGGAAAAATACGACATCCTAAGGTGACTGTGGAACCTCTGAGCACATGCGAGGTGATTCGGATGTAGGTATTGCGCTGACAAGTGCCGTAAGTCCATTATAACAGTCTCCTGAAAATAATAAACCTGGTCGCGTCCAACTTGTTGGGCGATGAGTGAACAATGTTGGGTGGAGCTACGACTGTGCAGGCTAGACTTAAGGGCAACTGGCAGTTGCCCAGCTGGGGGTTAACTGGCCGGCTGGGATGCATAATTAGCGCTAATATTTCACACGCTTGAAATCAGATGGCCGTTTGTCCAACTATCGAGTGTTTGATAATTCATAGGAAGATAAAGAGGGAATTGTGACCTACTCTCAAAAAGGCTTTGAAACCGTTTGTCAGTTACGTCTAGTAGTGGGAATGTGTTCTGGCCAAGGTGGGCCGTCGGACGTGCGGGCTTTATTTAAGTAGCGTACAGACCAGCGGCCTGCATACAGGTAAACTGGACTATATGTTACAATTTCGCCTGACTGCAATAATGCGATGCGCAAGTAAAGGCTTCTACTAAAAACCTAAAAATATGAACGCAAACTACGGTTGCCAACGATGCAGCGTTCACATTGAGCATGCAAATATAATAGTTTACAACGGCGTTGCAGGCGAGTAATGTCGCAATGGCAATTATTTATCCTTCGAGGACGACTGCCATCAGAGACGAACTTCTCCGGTCAGGCCAGAACGTCGCTGCGTTACCGGTACTAACGCCAGCTGTGGGCGGGTCACGAACGTTATTAGGGCATGTTCAGAGATCTGAAGACTAAGTCAACACCACGCAGTTCAACAACTTTCTGGAAACAGGTGAATTCACCTGCATCCGAAATAGTGCGAAAGGCAACGGTATAGTCCGCATCTGTTCCTTCCATTTGCGTTCTATGCTGCCCAGTCGCCGCATATTTGCTACACCCCAAAACCCCAAATGTGGCGTTTCCGGCTGATTCATCAGAAAGGCTTACATTTTGGTGATACGAGGCCTCTAGATAAGTTCTAATACACATAAACGCACCAACCAACTGACTGCTCGCAAACGGGCTGTAATTGACTAGATGGAATCATTAAAACGCACATTTAGATAGAATGGTCAGAAAGCCCTAGTTGCACAGTCAACATTCCTGAATTTGCTATTGCATTCCTTGTGGAAATTTATGGGTAAAAGGTCCAAGCCACACAATGGAATTCGCAGTTGATAAAGCGAAAAGGAAAGTGAGCTTGGGTGAAGTGCATACAGAAGCACAAACCACAACCCTCTACTTTTGCCCAATTTTTGCATTTTCTGGCACGTCCCTTCCCAACTGATGACTTGTATTAAGTGCAATTTTCTTAAGAATGCTAAATGTAAGTGATATCTACCTACATAACTACCACCAAAAGTAAAGAGTTAGTCCTGTTAGCACAGGTCGCCTCCTAAGGACCGGGCGGAACTATGGTGGTGCATCTATCTTTGGATCTCCCGGGAGTTGTCAGCCGTTCAGACGCCCTGCATCTCCCGAAGCCGCTGTTGCACAAGGCGGAGACTTCGGTAGAAGGCTGCTTTGATTGCATAAGTAGGGCGGTTGAAGTGGGCTTTGTGCAGACGGTGCTTCTCGGCAAGCAATTTGCTGAATGTGGTGTAGTTGTCGTCTAGGCAGTCCTGTAGTTGGCGGCGCGCGCGTTAGAAGACGGTCGGGGCATTCAAATGGGCCATACCCCTCGGTTGGCGTCATAATTTGTCCACAGATAAGTTCTCCTCGGTAGCGGCAACTAGAAGACTGACTAGCCGCTGCGCTAGCTCGTTGATGAAATGGAGATGATGGGCACGCACATTGAAAACAGTACTAAACTTACTTGGTGGTCGCTTACTATGAGATCTTTTGAGAGGTTGTAGGCAAATCCTCATCTTGTAAATGACAAGACAATAGTCAGTACATCCTTTGGCACCCGGCATAGCCTATGTCGCCAGAACATCCCAGAGGTCTCGAATTCGGACAAGGACATACTGTAGGAGTTGCCAGGCTCGCGATCGATGGGGCATCCATGTCGTCTCCACTGGCGTCGATAGGTGAATCTAGGTGATGTTCAGAATGAGACGGTGTTCTGTGCAGGTTATTAGGACCAGCGGGACAGTGTCATTTGGGTTGCCGAATCTGTTCCCTCAGTGCAAATACTGAAGTAGAGATGAAAAGGAGCGTGGATCTCCTCTTTGCCTGCGACGCCTTCGGTCTCATAACCAGCACAATGAATACGGTGGTTAGGCACAAATCGCCACCGGACGCCGCCTATAACGTACCCCAAATCATCGTGAACAGCGCCTTACTTGAGGCAAAAGACAACTAAACTAACCTGGGCAGCACCTTTTCTCGGATCTCCAAAACTGACGACAAAGGAGCCCGGTGGATTTTCAAGGTTAGCCAGGCGTGAAGACCTAACCACTTCCAACTCAGCAGTCTTCGGTCGACACTACAACTGGGGTGACGTGGTCGGGTTCCAACCACAGACGCAGTGGAACCTACGGAAAGCCTCAAAAACTACTCCATGCTGATGCAATCGGAACAGTGCTGGAGGTCCAACTCGCATGGGAAGACAATGTACGGTCACGCAAACGGTTCTTCGATGGAGGTCAAGTCCTGCGCCTTCATTGCACCCATACATTCACTCTGCGATTGGGCCAAAAAGGTCCAATGCGTATTCACAAAAATCTGCAGTAGACAACTTCTGGCTTCATCACACCTACACACCTTGCCCCAACAATACCTGCACCCGCACGTCAGAGTCTCAAACATCTCAAGCACCCAACCACAACCTCGCACGCTAGTGGGAAGCGTGCGTCTCAAGGCTTCTACAGCTGGCTTCTCTTCTTTTCTATTCAATGCGTGCTTCGAGTCTAAAACTACCACGGCGCGCAAAACACCGCGGCTAGAAAGGGTGCCGACAGACGCTACATCCTAGTCAACTCAGTCTGTGTAGTGGCAGGCTGATTGGTTGAGATTCCGGATGTCACAGTTCCATTCATTGACCTCGGCGTTCTCGCGCATGTGAGATGTATACCACTAAACCCCGGTCGTGTCAAATACTGGCGTTTGTATTTGGGTAACTAGGTCGTGCTCAGCCTGCGTGGACAAGGCACCTATATATGTCGGCAACTGCGCCCATTCCTCGCTCCCGACATCTGACCGGCTTAGACATTAGCTGCGACCTGGGGATGGGAAGGGAGAGTGAGGTAGTGGACTTCGTGCATTTTCATCTCTGTAAGCCATCTGACGCGCTTAAAGCTATCACGGTGTGCTAGAGGCCGTGGAAGCTTGGAAGACTGCCAACTGACAGGATAAGTCAGAACTCACAGTCAGTCCAATGTGCGATTATGTTGAGTGGATGACTGCTGGTCTGCAAATCAGATTGTAATGGTTCTTCTCAATGTTGCCTGTATGCCAAACCCACTTTGCCGAATCTGAGAAAGTGTGTAGACACGCCTAGGTGCGGTCCCGACCAGGCCAACTGTCTGCGTGCTCTCTAACCTCAGACCTTCGTGAGTAAATTTTGACAGCGGGTCCAAGTGGAAGAGAAGGGGGATGTCTGGTAGGCGCTGTAAAAGTCTACTATCCGTATTAACTAATTCGCGTGAAAGTCACCGTGCCTGCTTCTTTTTGCTGTGGAGCCCACGTAGGACGTCGTCCTGCACTAAGGCCGAACTGTTAAATTTACAAACCTGAAAAGCCCTTCTGCGACAAGTCTGTAGATGAGAATATGAAGCTCTATATCGAACAGCGAGGCAGATTAACTCGGATGACTATAGAGACACTTTTTAAAATGACGCTAAATTAGTTTACTGGTCATAAATGTTTGGCAGAGCGATAATTGTCGGACTTTTATTGAGACACGGTATTATGGATAGTGAATATCAATGCGTTCTCTACGCGCTCTGAGGTTAAACCTTCTAAAAAGGCGTCTGAGTTATAACTGCTTGTTGTTCAATAAGTTTACCAAGCAGCAATCAAAAAGTGCATTGGGCATTCATTTTTGACCAAGGCAAATGATAGGCATTACCTCGAGCAGCTCTGTCTTAATACTGATGGAGCACGTCGTTGATTGTCTGCAAACGAAACTAAAGTCAAAGGAAATTTCATTTGATTTTAGAAGATTTATGCTAATTTAGGGAAAGGAGAGGAAAGGATCTATTTCCTACTATTACTTACACGCATTTTTCTGTCTGGCGACCCTAACACGTTGATCGCACTTATTCACAGAGGAGATCAAATCGCTCCATTTAGATCTGTTGATTCTGGTGACATTTTCATTTAGAGATTAGTTTGAAGTCATACGTCTCGGTTCCGCAGATTTTTTTGTTCGTTGTTTTACAATAGATTAGAATTAAATAGGTGCCGTCTCAACCATCTTGATCACTACCAGCGCAATTCTACTATCAGTATGAACTGATTCACTTTCATGCCATCGTCAGAGTCCTCTTTCTCCTGCGGAGTAAACACTGATCATTGTCAAAATCGAGGACTGAACTGTTGGGTAATACTCAAACGCTGCACGCCCTCTGTGGCCAGTCTTAAACACGACAGGTGTCGCTTTAAATTTCAATTTCTAATAATTTTATCCCTGTCGTCCTGTTTTCAGTATTTCACAACACTACCACCTACATTTCGATTCACTTATTATGGTCTTTTTATACACTTCCTTTACAAACCCCGGACCTCTTATTGCACTAATTTTTGTTTTTGTAAGTCAGCGGTTTGCCATTAATCCCACTCGTAATTATTTCTTTTAAACTTATGTTGCGTCGCCTTTCACTTCAGTTGGACTTCATAGTCCCGAGAATTGGAAGCATAAACAAATAAGAATTTATATGTCCAATGTACTTGCAATTGTTCTCATCTCCAACTCTGACCTACAATTTCATCTTTGACCTTTATTATCAGGCGGAACCTTCGAGTCCACTCCGAGCACCCTATAAGATGTATTGGATGCCACTTTACTAGTTTAATCCTGGTAGGACAACGAACTTGTTTTATTAGTTTTAATCTCAAAAATTTTTGAATGACCAATCGTGGAAAACGCAGCGTCATAAAGTTAAATGCCGTCGTGTTTTAATTTGAGCGCCTTAGCTCTTTGACCCACTGGCATAAGCAACAAACTGTTAATCATATCTTACTCCGGGTTGCGAATTTAGTCGTCCTATTGTGGGCGTGCACGACTTTCAGTGGATCAACTGGCCACTTCTGTGCCGCTAATCAGTGTATTCAAGCTCTAAATTTCCTCAGGCTTCTTTTTGCTTAACACGACTAGGGCTAGTCGTCCCATCGTCTTAAATTTAAAAAAGGGCAAGACGAACAGTCTCTTACCCCATTAGTTCTTCATGTAGAAAAAGGATTAAATATTATATATTTTCGATTTAGGTTTACACCTAAGATATCGAGCTACAAGCTTTGCTTGCGGCCAGACGTAAATCTAGTCGCAAGCACACCTCATATTGTCGCTATCATTACAATTATTTTTCCATCGCGTTTAAGAAATAGGACTTAAACTTTTATCGTCCCCTCTGCCGGAGTAATGCACCTTTCGTTTATTCATCTGCAACAGAGACATAACTGATAGCTGAATACGATGGCAACTTTCATGATCCTTTCTGCTATCGATTTTGCTAATCATTTCGGAGCAGGTGAAGAATTATTGTGCTTTGAAATTTTAGGAACTCTTTTTTCGTCAGTTTAAGGATGGGAGTATAGCTTATTTGACTTTTCTTTTGATGCATCAGGGGAAAGGATTTTCATGGTCATTCATTTCACTTTGGAAAGCTTTGACCAAAATCAGATCTCGAATTACATAGGCCACCTTTTTCTTTTCAAAATAGAACGCTTTCTAATTAATAATTTAGCTTCCCTTAGTTCGTCAGTCCTTTAAAACCTGTGAATTCCCGAATCAGAAGGTCAACCTATTTATGCAGTACGTCATTTGCTCGACTCCTTGACTGACCTTTCTTTTATTGCCTCTTTTGTGCACATTAGGCTGGTTTGTC